ATAAAGAATATTAAAATCCTTAAAAGTTGAATAACACCAGATTTTAAAACCTGAAATCTTCTCTATTAAAAGAGAAGTACTAAATTTATCTACTATTTAAAAGTTATATTGGACTATATCATTAGTTTTTAATATAGCATATTTGATTGTTACTTAACCAATCAAATATATATTATTTTCAAAATATCTTAATAATTAATAAAAATATTAATTATAAATCAATTTAAATATAATAAAATCTGTTGAAAAAATCTAACAATATCTTACCAAAATTTTTAAATATTTTTATATAAAATAAGTATTTCTTTATTTCGTTATTAAATATAAATATAAATTTGTTTAATTAAAAATAAAATATAAATCATATATTTAAAAAATTTAGTTATATATTTATAAAATAAAAATACCCGCACGGATGTGCGGGTCAAACTCTAGTTTAATCATAGAATGAATAACCCTGAATTTTAAAATAGAATTTAGAATCATCAATTAAATAATAGTGAATTATGTTTAGATTTAAACTCTTTTAAAATACATGATCGAATAACACCATCTTAAGTTTTGATCAATAATGAATTTAGCTTGGATTTAAATATGGATCGTTTATTTATTACTAGTGAAGATTGTAGAACAATGAATTCGAACATATGGTATTCGACACTATTACTTTAGTTTGAAATCTTTAATTTCTTTCAAATAACTACAAAAAACACTACCAACTTTTTATTTAAATCATTTATAAAGTTTTTAAAACATTGAATCTGAACATAAGAGTCAATAATTGGTTTTATAACTATTTATCATTTGCGTCTTTCTACGTTTTTCTTGGTTGAAAAAACGACACGCACTCCTAGCTAGGCGCGCGAAACTCAAAAAGTGTTGATTACTCCAACCAAAGATCCAAGTGGTCAGTTAATTTACAAGCATGATTATAAAGTATACTACTGACTCTTTAACAAAAATAGGATTTTTTTTCTTTTTCCTTATGATAGATCGGAAAGGAAAATGTATGGCAATCCCATTTTAATGCATTACTAGTCTTACTATAATCAATTATTCAATCATAATCTAATTGTCTTTATTTGCAGCATGGCAATTTCTGCAATCTCTTTCATGGTCTCCGTTGGTTTTAACGCAGCTGCCAGGTTGGTAAAAAGATTATTTGAAATCTTTACTTATTTCTTTCAAGTGGTAACAAATAAGTATATATAAATTGAAAACGGTAGTACATAATATTTTAACTCGTCTTTTTTTTAATTACAGTGTGAGAGTTAGTAATGAATTGGGCGCTGGACATCCAAGATCAGCAGCATTTTCAACTGTAGTCAATACAGGAGTATCATTTTTACTGTCACTGTTTGAAGCCGTAGTGATCTTTTCGTGGCGTCAAGTCATTAGCTATGGTTTTACAGATAGTCCAGCGGTTGCTGAAGCCGTAGCTGAACTCGCTCCTTATTTGGCCATTACCATAGTTCTTAATGGAATTCAACCAGTTTTATCTGGTAAAAACCAAACAAACGTTTATTGGAAAACTAAATTAAGAGCTAATTAGTTCTAAATAACAAGCGGTTAAGGAATTTGATTAAAACAGGTGTGGCCGTTGGATGTGGGTGGCAATCATTTGTGGCGTACGTTAACATAGGATGTTATTATATTGTGGGGATTCCAATTGGTTATGTTCTTGGTTTCACCTATGATATGGGAGCTAAGGTGAATTTCTTTAGTTTACATATATATTATATAGTATATATTTTAGTCAATGATTAATGATTGGTTGGTGTAGAATATAACTGAATGGTTAATTATTTGCTTTATAAAAGTTGTTGAGAAATGGTTAATTATTTGTTGCAGGGAATATGGACAGGAATGATTGGGGGCACACTCATGCAGACTATTATCTTGCTCATTGTCACTATCAGAACTGATTGGGATAAAGAGGTAAATTACTAACTGCTAGTATTATTTATATATTCATAAATACATCCATTATATGTTCAAGTTTTGGGTTAGTATGTTTCTTATGGATGGTAAGGTCTATTAAGTTTGAATTTAAATTTGAATATCAGGTGGAGACGGCTTCGAGACGATTGGACCAGTGGGAAGACACCCAAGCGCCGCTTCTTAAGCAGTAATTAAACAGAGTTGTTGTTCCTTTTCAAATAGAATATTATGGGAAAGTTTTCTTCTTGTACCGATCAGTTGATTAATGATTGGAAAACGTGATAGTTTCCTGAGGGGGTTAGAGTGAAGAGATCATGTACATTGGTGTGAGAGGAAGTAATATTGAGAAGTGAGAAGGAAATGTCGAAGAACAAAATGATGTCTTGTGTGGAAGAGTGTTGTAACTTTTTTTGTATGAAATAAATCAAGTAATGTTAAGATCTCCACTTGTGGTTGTAAGTCATTATTAACGTCAAGATCACCATTCAAAAGAAGTGCTTGGAATTGAGAGTATATTATTGTTTGTTCTAAGACCATCTCTAATCACATTCCATTTTTCACACTTAAATGAAAAATAAAATAAAATATAGAATAAAAAATAGTTCAACCTTATTCTATTTCTCATTACATAATAGAGTAAAAGATGAGTTTATTCCACAAATAAAATAATCTATTTTTATCTGTTCATTATTCTATTATAGATTAAGAATTGGAATAGAATTGAATCATTTTTATTTTATATTCTATTTTACTTCATTTTTGAAGAAAAAAGAGTTATGCATTACATATGCTCTAAGTTATTAATTGTTATGGTTTTAATTTAAGTGTCTTAGAAGTTTTTTAAAAAACTTTTTAGGCTTCTAAGAATAGAATGGCAATTTAGCTGATTCTGGTTCAAATTGTTGTAACCAAACGTTCATTCTCATTAAAGAAATTTACAGTTTAGCCAAAATAATTAAGTAATGATGATAAGTTTATGGTTTCACATTTGAATCATATATTCAATCTTATATCTAAATTTAAAGTTAATAAACGATGTAATATTAAACTTTAGCAAGTGATGTAATAGTTGATAAGAAAAGTAAAAATTATATATGCTTAATATTTAATGTTTTTCTAATAGCAATTTAGTCGGACTAATTAAAGCTCATATAAGTCACTGCCATAAGAATAAAAAACGTTCGTAAGACTAGTGTGATCTTCATATGAATCTTCAAACGCGAACATATTGGATTTGTCAATTTGGTTTGATAGCTACTGAAAAGGTTTTGCACTTGTCTTTTGTTTTTTCTTTAATAATTTTAAACAATCATTATGTTCGTTTACACACCCTCGAGTTTGAATTAGATTGAAACTATCTCATTCATGCATTTATTATACAAATACTTCTTTTTTTTTTGGTTTACACTGATACTAACTTTACTATGACTCAATTCGTGAAAACTTAGTAGAATATTGTGTTCTAAGATGAACATCCTGACCATAGAAAACTTAAAGATTTAAATCACGAAGATTGCGGAAGTCATATAACTTTTGAGTTTTGAGCTTTCCCCCACTCTGTCCTTGTAATGATTCAGTTACAGATGCCTCATTCTGACACAAAACTTGGTTGTGTTCAAATTATTAAGTATTACTGGTTGGTAACTGAGTAATCTCTTATCCGTTTTAATTATCTAGAAACCTCTTTTGTTTTATTTTAACAGATATCCCCCCCAAAACAAGAAAACAAATGAAGAAAGATACAAGATGATGATTATTCACATGACATGCATACTATTTATATGCATAGTATTTATATATTTAAGGACCATGCATTACGCTCATCATTTTATGTAATATAGTTTTTGTTCCTACATGACATGAGTCGATAATATACTATCTTTTAATTTTTGTCTCGTGATGAAGAGACGAACAAAAAATAATAATAGATTTCCAAGTTGTGAAAAAATTTAATTGATTAATAATATGATTGGATACGTAATGAGATTCGAGCTCGTACGAGTTGAGGGATGTACAAAGACTAAATTTGGACATACGGATCCACTCAACATCACGCGTATATTGGTGATCTCACCACTTCCACTCGTTATTTTGCCCGAGTTTGTGTATGATTGGTGAAAAATGTAAGTCCATGCTTATGATTGTATACCAATGGCATGTTTTAAACACATAGTTGGATTTTTTAACAGAAACAAATATAGATCACTATCGCAAATCGCACCACTAGCACCTAAAATAAAATGATCAGGTCTAACAAAAATATTTACCCAAAGTTCAATACATTAGTATAAAAATACTAGAAAAACAGTTGATGGTTTTTACAAATCCCATTCCTTATTATGTTTGTTTATCTTAATATTTTTGGGTATTGTCAGTAAGTTATTTTAATTTACTAGTCCATGTGAGGTATTATCGGGAGAAATAAAAACAAATTATTTTTTTCGAAGAACACAAAGAACTACTTAAAAGACAATCACCAATGCTTTGAAACTTATACGATGGTGGTGTAAACTATAAAAATTAGTCCACAATTTGGTCTAAAAATTTTAATAAAAAAAACATAATGTTTGTACATTGTAGATTCGAATCTCACACTGTAATGAATTTACCTATTTGTTTACAACCTGTACCATTCCACCAGTGGAACCGATGATAAATCTAAAAATGACTCCATCAGAAATGATACCAACATATAACGAATTGAGGTATGAAAGCTATTAACTATTCACGGTTTGAAAGACTTCATATAATAGTTCAATATCATTACTATAAATATTTTACATTAGAGCAATCCATGTATTTTTCATTGAAATTGTTTCGTTTGAATTGTGTGAACACTAAGTAGATTCTAGTTCCATGTGTCAAAAATATCTATGCATAATTATTACAAATTTCGAGATTTATAACCCTTTTTACGAAAGAAACAAAACGCATGATTTCTTCATATTACGTTTCTTGATAAACTTCTGTACGTCATAAAGATCAAAATAAATCCAAGAAAAGATAAATACACAAGACAAGAATATAAAAGAAATAAGTCTTTTTTTCAAAAAGAAATATCAAACTTCAAGAGTGAAAATAGGCCTAGGTAGTCCTTTTGTTGCACCAACGTGGAACATCTTCTTCAAGGCTCTCACACTGCTTTGAGAATGCTTTCTAATTCCGCCAAAACTTACGACGGATACTACGCTCCGACGTAGCTTAGTCAAACTCTTTCCGATCTCCACCTTCAACCTTAAAAGCTTCATCCGTAGAAACGATGACGGATGAGAAGAACGGCGAGACACCAAGTCCACTTCTTGAAGTGTTTTGTAAATCAAGAACTTGGCTCGTTGGTGAAACACCTCTTCTGGATCTTCCTTGTTAACCTTTGAGTACTTACATGGTCTTTTGAAGAGGGTCATTTTTCGTCTATCTTTTGTGAATAGAAGTATAGAGATCTCAGAATGAAGAGAGGAGTTGAAGATGAAAAAGTATTTGTAGTCATGGCATTAGATAGTGCTGGTGCACTAACTTTTAACTTGTACGGTTGAAGCCAAGTTATATGATTTTCTTAATTAGAATAATTTTAGTTGATACAGTTTTATTTGCAAGTCAAATCATTAAGACAATAATATATGCTATGATAAACAGGATGATATGACTTCCAACTAACAATGCATAGTAAATGCATAATATTGTTCTAATTATTACTTTTATTATTTGCAAAATGAGGTCGTAATACTTACAAGATAACTGTTTAGTCTACAAACATTTTCAGTTTACGACCTTGCCGCCCAAAAATAAATATGTAAAATTATTACTTTTACATCTTTTAAATAGTACTAGATCCGTTCCCCGGGCTACGCCCGGGTTGTTTGGTTGATGTTCGTTTTTTTTTTATAGTTTTAAATATGCCTATGCCAATATTGATAAGGGAGGCTGATTACCCTGGGATAAAGTCATATGGAACCATTGTATTTTGTTGTTTGAAAGTAGTGGTCACAACAGAATACATTTGTTCGGGGCTTATAGTTTTTTCTTGCTTTGTATATATTCTTATACCCTAATATTAAACCCTAATTATTTTTTTGAGAGGCGAACATCATATTTATAATTTACACACTTTTTATAATGGTAATAATAATAATATTATTATTTAGAATTGAAAAGGTTTTAGTGTTAGAAAACGTTATGTAATTGTATGTCCTTCACTATAAGTATGTATTAATAAATTAAACAAAATAATAGTTTTAATCTGATTTTTTTTGGGTTTTTCGCTATATTAATAACTTGAAAGCAAATGGAGACCAATTAAAAGATATATTGTATTTTCATATCGGTGTAATAATATGGAATGTTATTTTGGTTTTTGTTAGCAATTGATTTGTTTGGTCTATTTAGAAGTGAAATATGTGATTAATTAGTTGGAAGTTATTTTTCTTTCATAAATTTTTAAAAATTTCACAACAGTACTGTTTTTCATTTTTTTAGGATCAAAGAAAGTAAATAGAAATACGTCTCACTAAAGCTAGAATTTCTAAGGTTTGGTGTTTGAAAATTTCCAATCAAGCAAATAAATAAAATAGCAGAGTTAATACTGAAGATGGCAAACAAAAAGTAAAGAAATAATATTGAATGAGAGTGTTGTACACACATTTTTTATTGTAGGAATTTATTAGTAGAGTAACTTATACGATAACAAATTAAACAGTTAGGAGATAGTATTTGGGCAGAAGAGAAGATAGGTAGCTGCTATATGGATTGTAAGTGAAGACCCTAGGGAAAATGTTGCGAAGGGAAAATGTTGCGAAGGGAAACCCATTAAGAAGGAAAAAGAAAGCATAAGTCTAAATTGAAACAAAACCAGTTTTTCATAATGCTGCAAAGGAAATTCCATGAGAAAGGAAAAAGAAGACAAAATATAAAATTGAAAGAGAACCACTTCTAAGTATCATTAGCCATGCTTAGTACGCTTGGCTCCTTCACACTCAATCCCATCAGCACTCCTTTTCCCTGACTCATCTGCTTCAGCCTCCCTTCCATTTTCAGGTCCCTCTTCTGCTTCCTCTCCAATGCTGGCTTCAGGTTCTTGTGTCTCAAGAGGGAGGACCTTCGTCACGGTTAAAGTCTGGGACTTACCAGTCAGATTATAAGCAGACACCTTCACAACAAATTTCAGGGTCTGTCCTATGGTACCAATTAAAGCCTGAGGCACTGGCATAATGTGATCCTCTTCTTCAATGTCGTTGGCCTGACACAGTTTTAGATATTGTTAATTTTTTCCCTCAGAGAATAACTTGTAAAATCTTACAAATGTGCATGTTCATATCATACCTGGTAGTAGCTATCAACCAACTCAGCAGCTGTCTTTCCAGTCAACTCCTCACCAGCATCACAAAGAACAACAAAGACGGCTTGATCCTTGTGGTCATACACAGAAAGCTTCGAGTTGTACCTACAAAAGAGAGATGTTTCTAACCATTGCAATCAAAGAAAATGTGTGAGCAATAGAAAACCACTTACTGTGGCACACCAACAATTTCATTCTTTCCACACTTCTTACACATAAGTGTAGTTGCCCCTTTGATTGCCTTGGTATGACACACACCACAGCCTATATAATACCACCCAGCACCGTGCACAACATCATCAATAGTCGCTGTGCACTCAAACAAAGCTACCTGGAAAAATGTTGTAAATTAAATGAAACACTCACATTACCGTATTCAACGTATCATTACATAAGGGAGCATAATACCTTCGCGGATGGCTGCTTCATGTAGGTGAGGAGATCACCCAAAGTCACTGTTTCAGGCTTTGTCACGACCGTGGCATTAACTCTGTTGGCCACATCGTAGTTTGATTTCAACCTGAATCAAATATAAAAGTAGCCATCACGTATGTGGAGGATTTTAAGTTATTTTCGAAAACATGGAATCATAAACCTCACCAACTCAGATAGGAGCGTGTCTCTTGGATATCAACGTCTATGAATACCCGGGAAGCCGTCGTAGAAGACATGAATAAGACACCTTGACCAAAACGAATACCATGGTAAGTAGAAAAACCATGTCACAATAAATTATAGTGAAACATGTATTCGTTAAAATTGGTTTTCCTACTTTGCTATTAATATCTGTTTTTTTTAAAAAAAAGAATACCATCATTAGCTGATCTCAGGTCCTATCTAGATTACTCGAGTATTTTCTATTAACCAACTTGTCAAATAAACAGTTGTGTGATGTGGGAAAAATCATGGACCAATATCAATCAATAGCTTTGTATTAGAAGATTTAACCCATAGTCGGTGTAGACTAAAAAGAGTTGTCTCTCCTGCTACCTATCATATTTTAAAATTTCGTAATACAAACCTCCAACACGTTTCGGATTCAAGGTGGTGACCAAGATAACACTTGCAATGCCTCCAGATGATTTAAACTTGTCACAGAACTGGAGCGCAGCTTGATCCCACAGATACAGCTTCATCACCGGTTCGCTATAACAACCATGTTAAGTTTTTTTTTAAATCGCTTGTTATTTTAAATTAGATGTTTATATGGACAAAGATGCAGATTAACTTACTCATGTGTTTGAACATGAAGCTCAAGACGGCGAGATGCAGCTAGCTCTGCTTTGTCAATGATAAGTTTATCATTGGGTACCTCCCCATTCACAAGTTTGATGTGGCCGATATAATCTGCATGCGAGGACAGTAAAAACACTGCTTTAGATCTCATAAACACAGATTCCGGGTCTAAATATCGCAGACTGTATTAAATTAAATCCTAGGCTAAAACACTATCCATTTTCAGCTGAATATCAGAAGGTGGAGTAAACAATATTATAGGTTTTCAATTCAAAGTACACAATGTTCCTATACAACCAGTGTGAATTATGATAATGGTGTGAACTTACCATAAAGATCACCTCGCTTATCTGCGGCAGCCTCAAATTCTTTCTGGCCATGGACCCGGAACCTATCCTCTGGAAAACAGACAGTACTGTCTTCAAATTCAGAGAGGACAGAATTCCATGAGAAACTAATGGTGACACTTGGGTCAGCCACACGGTAGATGGTCTTGCTCTGCGATCCAAAAAACCTGGTAAGTCGATAAGTTGCACCAGCTTTAAAGTGACGCAAATAAGTGTCACTCCTTCCTTGGGGGATGAAACCCTGGATAACAGTGCCCTGTTGTTAAGAAGGTTTGAAATATAAGTTAGGTAATGCAGGCTAATGATATTAAGCTATTGGCAGAATAATTTGATAACATACAATTACAGAACAACAACTTTATCAGATAAACCATAAGTGAGAAGATTAAAACGCAAGCCACAGCAACAAATTTCTAAACTAATTCAATCATTTCTGTTGTTAAAATTAAAAACAGTTGAGAAGGTCAACCGTTTAATAATCTTTACCGATTATGTTATAAAAATATTAATGTAATTTTATAACAATTACATGACGATATTAAGCTATTGCCAGAATAATTTGATAACATACAATTAGATAACCTAGTATTCGCATCACAGAACAACAACTTTAACAGATAACCCATAATTAAAATGATTAACACGCAAGCCACAACAACAAATTTCTATAAAAAATCAATCTGTTATGTTGTTAAAAACTGTTGTGAAGGTAAACAGTTAAATAATCCTGACCGCTTATAATTTAAAAAAATTAACAGAAAACCTCTAAAAAAAACTGCAGAGACGACAATTACATAAAAATAGTATTACCATTGAACTACAACAGATTTTAAAAACTAATCAATCTTCCATGGGTTACAGCAGAAATCCGTTGTGAAGATAAAATGTAAGCTAATCTTAGCGTTCATTACCTCTTTATCGATGAGAAGCATTTCGATCCCGATTAGTAACTTTGATAGGGGATTCCAGGCCTCCCAAAAGTGAATCAATCGAAACCGGACCTCCCCATTATTAGGCCCTAGAGTAACGTCTTTGAAGGTTAGCACTTTCCCAACGTCGTTGGAGACGATCGATTTCCCCTTGACGGTGGCAGAGACGGCTACTTTGGCCCCACCGGTGATGTTGATACCGGAAGAAGAGCCGCGTTTTGGGCTTGGTTTGATCGCCCTTGAGTTTTCCGCCGGTAGGCCTTGTGGTTTCGTTGAGATGAGATGGTCGAAAGAGACACCGTCTTGACCTACGGATTTGACCGGACCAGAGGGAAACGCCGCATCGTTGCATGCTATCAGTGACTCGTTTACACCGGTTGATTTCATGGTTTTGTATAATCGTAAGGGGGAGGAAACTTTTGATGTTCGAAAGCATCGATTTAGAGGTTCTTATATAGAAGTTCAGATGTGAGAAAGTGAAGAGAAACATTCAATCACAATAAAGAGTTTAGAGGAGTGGGAGAGAATTGATTGCCACTGAAATGAACTCGTCGAGACGA